TATATATATATATATAAATCCTTCTTCTACTTGCAAGGTTATTATTATAAAATATGCAACGAGATGGAGTGGGCATCTTGCATGCCAGGGTCCCTTGAAATACAATCATTCACTGCAACTCAAACCTCCAGCTTTTGTTCCACTGTTTTCTTTATAAGACAGAGTCTCACTCTGTAACCCAGGCTGGCCTAGAACTCATGGCAGTCCTCCTGCCTTAGCCTTCTGGGATTACAGTGCTGGCATGGCAGGTATGAACCACTCCACCAACTCAAACCTCTAGCTTCTACAGACAATCTTCATATTAAATTGACGTGAATATTTGGGGGGGGTATTTTTTTAAAACTCTTATCCTTTTTAAAAATTGTTTTTATTGAATTTTCATGTATTTTATATGGAATATCTCAAAATCTTAATCATCTTTATACCCTCGTCCCCACTGGCACGCTCCCACAGCTCCCCCACCCCCACTCCACTGGAACCCGTATACTCTGTCATCCGTATTGAAGCCCAATGTGTCAAATCAGTGTCCCCAGATGTTCCCCTGTGCAAATCCATCCACTGAGGAAAATGAGGACACTTTAAATGGGGAAACCATGGTGGAAGGGTTAGACAGGGAGAGAGAGAAGAGAGATAAATAATGCCCAGCTACTTTTAAAAAATGAGAGGGAATCATATTAGTCCAATAACCTAATGACAAATTACACATACAATATCTCTACATGAGTCCATGTGTATAGCTAAAGGCTACATAACAAGAAATAGTACCAGACAGGAGAAACTTTCCATGAGTCGTTAGCCAGGGTGGTCCAAGAGACTCTCAAAATTACACAGGCTATTGTCATAGCCCAGGCTATGGTCTCCCAGAACTTGAAGGTAAGACCCTACTGCTGAAGACAGAACATACTTCGGACACAGGATTTGGGTAACAGAGCTAGAACTGACCTAAAACCATTTTCCCTGAAGACTAACTCTCATAGCTTTGGAGAGCACTGTGAGGGTGTCAAGGGAAAACATCAATCAATGGTCCAACACCAGCTTCAAAACCAAATAATCATATCAGTAGCCAGCACAGCATACGACATTGGTGCAATAGTGGCACTTTTACTTGGGGACAATCAACAGCTACCTAATTGGACTAAAAGCCCACTGAATGGGAAGAAACTCAAGTGTGATATTGTAAATATAATCAAATACAGATGACCGGAGAGGTCATAGATCTTAGAGAAAACCCCAAGACTGTCACATCCCTAGACTAATAAAATTTCTTGCTATGTGCAATATATGTATCCTTATATTTATAGACAAATATCCCAGTCACCACTCATCAAAAAAATTTTATTCTTTTAACATGTCACAGAAAAGGATCATGAATTAGTCAGATTTCTATAAAACTCCAATTTTGCTTCCAATTCTGGAATCACTTCTTAAGCTTGGTTGTTCAGCTGCCTTTCTGATGCTTTGACTATGATGCAACTTAGAGGCAAATGCCATTTTAATAGGCAGGTCTTATTTTTCTGCATATAAAGCATGAAATGATAAAAGTTTTCTTACCTCATTCAAAATAAACCAGCGACTGTACCTATATCTAGCATGTATCACATATGCACTCTTTTTTGTTTGTTTATTTGGCCTTACATACTTAAGGTTGAAAAATCCCTTCCAGCTGAATGGAAGGCCTCAGGATCCTGAAATTGGATAATTAGAGTTTCACATTCTCCAGGCCTGTCTTGCACTCTAGATATCCATTGTGGAACACTTGTCTCCCACAGATAAGAAGGATCAAAGATTCCACCATAAATTCCCTGCCCCCAGTGGGGTGCAGAGTCCCCTTGCTTTCTAAGGGAGTAACAATAGAGCCAACTCTAGGAGGGGACTCAGGAGGGTTCTGCTAGCTCTCAAGCCAGTTGTGACTAGAGAGCTAATTTCCACCCAGCTCTGTGTGAGGCTCCCTAAGTGGCCCTATGAAAAAGTCTGCATAGCAGCCTTAAACTCTAACCTTTTCAAAATTCCTCTTGGCCCCCTGAAGACCAGCCAGCTGGCTTGACTTTGCCAAATTGCATCACCCCAGGCTGCTGTGGAAGCCCTCAGGAGTTTGAGTCCTGATGGTAAACAAAGCTGGGGAGGGGAGGCCACCCCAGCCTTTTCCGCCCAGCCTAGCTGCCTACTGACAGCTCTGGGCCTTCCCTGCCACTGCCACGCCTGTGAAAGATGAAGTACCAAGTCTCTGAAATTTGGTACCTAGAGCTTCCAAAGAGCCATGAAGTTTCACTCTTCCTCCTGCTCCCCAGTTCCTCTGCGGCCGAAGTCTGCACTGTGAGCAGAGGGAAGGTATTAGATAGATAGCTGGGGATTCTGGGAGTTTCCTGTGTGACCTGGACTGCAGAATATAGCGAGCTCCCACCCTCATTCATTTACATGGTACATTTTTCCAAGTCAGACATTTGTAGCTTTCCAGAAAGTCATCATCTATGAAGAGACTTGCAGAGGGCTCTGCCACAGGAGTTGCTGATAAAGACATCGCTGTAGGCTGAGATCAGTGTATTGACATCCCATAGTTATACTTCAGTGTGATCCCCAGAGTACACTTCCTGCCAGTAAACACCTGGTTTATTGAGTATTTCTGTGGATTATTTTCCTTTTTCCTCCATGCTTAGAGTGTCTATTATCACCCTTATAAATCTCACTTCCTTTTCTTATTTTAAAGTCCTAACGACGTGAATGAAATCAATTGTAATTGTCCAGCATTTACATCCACCTCACTAACTTACACCCATTCTTGCTCTTTATATAAACTGGGTCTCCCCGCTCCCAGGATCTGTTTGTGGGCTCTGCCCAGGCAAATGGTTGCTGGGTTAAAGCATGAGAGCTCATCTAATATGACTCCACCTAGAGGCATTAGGAGACATGATGGCTGAAATCCTCTTACTGCTCCTGCTGCTGTCCAAGTTTGCAGCAGGCTGCGAATATGTGCCACGTTTTCATCAGCATGAGTCCCCAGAAAGCAGACCCCAGAGGAGACAAGGCCATCCCCACCACAAAGGCACCAGAAGCCTTCCAAATGTCAATACACTGCTGCATTTTTCCAAACTCGCCGCCCAAGCGGCCTTTAACATCCCATCGCCCCACTGTGATCCACCGGCTAAAAACCACGATTGTTAATTGTCCCAATACTACAGAACAGCTCGTTTTAATACAGTCAGGACATGAATGAGGCTCGGGCTCCCCTTTGCCCCTCCCCTGAGGCACCTTGGATCTTGGAGAGAGAAGGGGCACTTAGCTGGCTGGGGTACAATAGGGGCTAGTGTTGAGGTCAGCAATAAATAAGGGGTAACATTGTTTTCCCTGCTGGCAACCAGCAAGCCTTCCTTAAGGATTGAAATAACTTACATTTCTGGAGCGAGCAGCTGAGCAATTGAGAAAGAAGACTCTGTTCCTCATTTCAAGATCTCTCTCTCCCTCTCTCTCTCTCTTTCACACACACACACACACACACACACACACACACACAACTTCTCTCTACCTCTTACCCTCCAATTCCTCAATTGCTGCTCTCATTCTAATATACAGAGCATTCAGCCTCACCTCCCTAATTTCTGTCCAAAAGAGGAGCCAGCTTGAGGGCTTGAAATATGGTTGGAAAGGGTATTTTGCTCCAAGGGCCACTTGAGTACAAACAAAAACCTCATGAGTCGGGGGACATGGACCCAAACATTTAAATAACCCAGAGGCAGAGGCAGCAGAGAAAGGCTGCTTCTTAATGCTGTAGTTCTCTCTCTCTCTCTCTCTCTGACACACAGGCTCTGAAGATTGTTCCAAGAACTTCACTAGCCCCAATGGGACCATCGAATCTCCTGGATTTCCAGAGAAGTACCCACACAACCTGGACTGCACCTTTACCATCCTGGCCAAACCCAGGATGGAAATCATCCTGCAGTTCCTGACCTTCGACCTGGAGCATGACCCTCTTCAGGTGGGGGAAGGAGACTGCAAATATGACTGGCTGGACATCTGGGATGGCATTCCGCATGGTGAGTGATGTTCCTATCACGAAGCACTTCAAAGTGACTTGTCCTTTGTAAATTACTTAGAAAGGAAGAGAGTAGACTTCTGAGCTCTTTAAATTCTTAAAGGACCCATAACCACTTTTTCTTCTACTTCACCAAAGATAGTTTGAGAAAAGTTACAGGAAGGTGGCCTACTTTCTTAGAGAGATTTCCTTTTGAAAGAGGATAGGAGATTGAATAGGTCTTAGACAAGGATGATTTCTTAGTTACTTTTCCTGTCACTGTGATAAAATATAAGAGCAACTTAAGGAAGGAAGGGTTTATTTTGGATCTTAGACCCCAGTTCATCATAGAGGGGAAGTCAAGGCAGGCCGAGCTTGAAGCAACTGGTCGCATTGTATCTGCATTGAAGAGCACAGTGGATGCTTGTGCTTGGCTCACTTTCTCCTTTTTATACAGTCCAGGATCCCATCCCAGGGAAGGGTGCCACCCACAGAGGGAGGGTCTTCCCACCTCAATTAACCTAATCAAGATAATGCCCCACAGGCATGCCCAGAGGCCTGTCTCCCAGATGATTCCAGATTTCATGAAATTGAAAATTGAGATTAACCATCACAGATGGCAAAACTATAAGTGATGTTCTTTTCCCATATCAAGTTATCAGGATAGAAAGTGACTCAGTAGCAAGCCCCTGTGACCAGTAGAAAGACTTAAAGCCAGACTAAATAGCTTTGAATCCAGGCTCTGCTATGCAACCTTGGCAAGTTATTGAAACTTTATATATTAACTGTATACTGATTCTGTCATTACTATCATTTCATTATTATTAATATAGCTGTAGTTGTTGAAAAGGTATATCATTCAAAGCCAAGAGGAACTAGCATTTATCAGATGTGGACCAGCATAGAGCTGAGGTATAGTCAGTACTGGAAACAAATCATTCACATTTGTAGTTATTCTAAATATTTTCTAATATAAGGGAGACTTGATAGCTAAGCAGGAGAAGTTTCTTCTCCTAGAAAAAGCATAAGATTTAGTCAGGCAAGTAGGATTGGGGCCTAGCTCTACTATTTCCTAGCAGTATGAGCAGGAAAATGTCACCTGACCCTCTGAAACTCAATTTCTTCCTCCGTAGAGCAAGTATTGTAATGATACCTTCTGGCCAGTCTCCCAGGAATGGGAGAATCGAACGAAGCCAGCTCAGTGAAAGTACTTTTTAATGTGCAGGAAAAATATCAGACATTGTTCTTAAAGCACGTATTCAGTTTTTATGTCAAGGTGTCCGCAGTGAGGTTCCCTGTGATGGAAAGGGAGAAGGCACTGAAAACCGAGTTTGAGATGGGATTACCATTTCCTGTCTTCTCTTTGTCTCCTGTATCCAGTTGGCCCTCTGATTGGCAAGTATTGTGGGACCAAAACACCCTCCGAACTCCGTTCATCCACAGGGATCCTCTCCCTGACCTTTCACACGGACATGGCGGTGGCCAAGGATGGCTTCTCTGCACGTTACTATTTGGTCCACCAAGAGCCACTTGAGAGTAAGTTGATCACTTAATCCCTATCCTGTCCTCTCATCAGGGCTATGAGTGGGTACACAAAAGGGCTGACCTCAGAGAGAGCAGGAAATGGGATTGCTAGAGAATCCATGGTGGCATCTGAGTTCAAGGAAGGGGAGACGCATCTTCTTTCTAAGCAGAGGTGAAGGTCGATCTGGGTGCTCATTTCCTTTAAAAAAATAACGTGTACAAAGAATGAGTTATTTCCAGGGAAGTCACAGGACCATCTCAAGCCTCCATTCTCTCATCTGTGGATAGAAAGGTGATGGTTGGGGTGATCCATATGGGAGTCTAATGTTTTCAGGCTGGGACCAGTTTCCTCCATCTCTAAACCTCAGAGGTCATTTATTACAAAACTGAGACATTGTCAACCTCTCTCTCCATATATATATATATATATATATATATATATATATATAGCTATACATTAAAACTTCCCCAGCCCTGGGTAGGATTTCCCTGGCTAGATGATACAAACACTTGAACTTCCATTTTACACTTCCAAGAATTATTTTTTGGAGCATCTGCTATGTGCCAGGCACTGTGCATCGTATTGCAAACTGCAGCTGTGAGCCCAACAGTTATGGATCTTGCTACCCAAACAATTGGTCTCTGGCCCCGAGTTCCATCTTCAAACCAGCTGCTTCTTGCCCTGTGCTTCAGATGCACTACCATGACTGCTTAGAAACCCAGATGATCTCACGAAGGAAGAAGATAATGAGCGCTGAGGGAATCCTGCCACTCTTCTAGGCAGCTTACCACCTATGTAACTTTACATGGCAGACTGGCCTGCCAAAGAGTCAATGGAGTTCTGCTCTGAATGTGGCTTTTGTTTTTATCAGAGTTCCTGAAAATGGGGTGAGAATCAGTACCCCAAATTTCAACTGCTTCAGTAAATGGCCAGTACAGCCACAGAGCTAAAGAATGGGCTTGAGGCCAGACGTGGTGGTGCACGCCTTTAATCCCAGCAGAGGCAGGCGGATCTCTGTGAATTCAAGGCCAGCCTAGTCTACATAGTGAGTTCTAGGCCAGCTAAGGCTACAGAGAGACCCTAACTCAAAAAAAAAAAAAAAAAAAAAATGGGTTTGAGGCCTGAGAAAGATGACTGGTCCCCCTCAAACTCTTGCGCTTGCAAGAACTGATCAGTATCCACAGCATTCAGGTGGAGGACAGCGACTTAGCTGATGGCTTAAAAGAGTAAGTGACTTCTGGCTCTATTTGCCCAGACAGGTGATGCAGGGAAACACAGTGTGGCACGCATGTACTCACAGACAGGTTTCCCAAAGACAGGATTTATGCTTTATAAAGTCTGTCTTCTGTGCCAGAAGTCAAGAAACAGTTGGACAAAAGAGAAAAACATGCAAAAGTGCCTCCTGGGTGTGTGTTAATAAAGCAGGCTTCCCACGAAGGCTCAGCCCACCCAAATTGCCAGGATGCCAGTTCATGTTCACCTGTATCACACTGCTGGGGCCTCTGGCTCTGGAGAGTATCCATAGCCTGCAGCAGTGATAACATTAGTGTTTTAAATGGTATTTTTTAATTTGTATGGTGATTCTTATTTATCCACCCCCTAATTTCTTTTAGGTTCAATTTAGTTTCTTGCAGACCCAGAGGGGTTGTCAACTACGCGACTTAGTATTGTTGTTTTTAAAATGTGAGCATATAATTAGATTCAGGGTGAGGGAGTACCTGCTAGGACTTGTTCCTAGAAGGAAACAGTGTCTGAGAGCCCCCAGTAGATTGAAGTTGAGATGCCTGACTCTGCCCTTGACCATCTCCACTCCTCAGACTTTCAGTGCAATATCCCTCTGGGAATGGAGTCTGGCCGGATAGCTAATGAACAAATCAGTGCCTCATCCACCTTCTCTGATGGACGGTGGACCCCTCAACAGAGCCGGCTCCATGGGGATGATAATGGCTGGACCCCCAACTTGGATTCCAACAAGGAGTATCTCCAGGTACTTACTCAGATATGAAGGGGGTGGGGTGTGTGCAGAGTATGTGTGTATTGATAGGACAGTGGCCCCTCAGCTAGAGCAGACAAAGGACACTAAGAAAACAAACACAGAATGCTTGATAACTTCATTCCTTCATTCATTCACCCAAGTAGGCACTGTGCTATGCTTAGATACTGTGCATTGCGATAAATTGATGAGTACTAGAGGCCCCTCCCGCCCCGCCCCATCCTTGCCCTTATGTAGATTAATAGGCCTGGGAAAAGTTGTTTGGCCAGGATGCTGTTTGCCCTATCAGTATCAAAGGAACATTCTATGAATAGTTCCAGATCTTCCTCATTCTTGGCAGGAGGGGGGGGGGCATCAGAGTTATGGGGAAGAACGCTTTCCTAAGGGCAGGTTTGTTAGGCGCTAGCTGAATGTGGCAACTTCTTCTGATCTTTGCTATCTGGAGGGAGCCTGCCAGGAAGGTTTTGCACATAGCTATCAGAAGAACACATGGGAAAATGTCACTGCGGGGAAGGAAACTCAAGTTATCCAGATGCTCTGCATCGTCTTTTCAGACTATTGTTTGCTTTCTTCCTGAACAAGTCTCGCAGCTCATGTTGAGTAATCTTCCCGCACTGCAGACGGGTCCAGTTCTGATCCCTTGGGAAGAAGTAAACAGGGGAAGAGCAAGCTGCTAGTTCTATTCCAGAGCAACGTCTGCTTTTATGACACACACAGACAGCCTTGTGACCCACTGACAAGCCTGATGTGACATGGTGACCTCTGCTCTAAGAAGGACACTACAGTGCAGACAGGATTGGAGAGGGGAGGGGGGGTCACTTAAAAGGTTCCAACAGCACAATTCTCCAGCCATTTGTCAGTCTCTCCTCGCTGCCTCTCCAAAAATCCTTTCATCTTGCAATGCTTCCAGAAGGTTCTTTGTCGTTACAGTCTATTGATGTTACTCCTTATTTTGGCCCTTAATCCCCTATGCTTCATTATTGCTACCTACCTTTCCTCATACACATAGAAGGTGCTGCACATTTCTTCTTAATGTTAAATGTTTTGTAATCCTGTGCACATACTGAGTATCCAGTAAGTGCTTGCTGAGTTGAGTTTTACCAGTTTGCACACACTACCACACGTAGAGACTCATTCAGAAATACCATAACCAGCAAAAGAACAACATCCAGCAATTTCCAAATGGGCTTGGCATTGTCAGAGGGGAGGTACCTCAAAATGTTGGCCATCCTCTTTGTGAAGCAAAAGGTCAGGACTTGGTGCATAAGCCTAATTGCTTGGGCAGACTCTGCATGCCCTTTGACCCTTTAGTGACCTGAGTGGTTAAAGACACAATGGAGTGAGGGAACATGGGGAGGGAAAACAGCTATGGGCTGTGACTTTTGCAAGTAGAGCATTATAGTGGATTGGACTGAATTGGACTGGATTGGATTAGAGTAGAGTGGATGAAGCCATTCAATGCTCCTTTAAGACAACATCTGCCTTCATATGCAGATGCAAATTATGAGCTAATGAGGGGGCCATGATTCTAAGAATTCACTAGGAGAAACTGAAGATTATCCATTCAGATTTGCAAGTGAAAGAAAAAAAAAAAAAAACCCTAAATAATCAAGTTCTACTTTTCAAGGTATCGAATCTGGTAAGAAGTAAGTTGAGTTTAATTGTCCAGGGGAATTGCAAAATGATGTTAATTGCAGGTTTGTCTCATTACTCACTGGCCCAGTTTGTGAATTTAGCATGACAATCGTATTCTTTGCAGAAATAGCTAAATGTTATTGGGGTGGTGGTCCCCTTACTCTCTGACCTCTCTTCCCAGGTGGATCTACGCTTCCTAACCATGCTCACAGCCATTGCAACACAGGGGGCAATTTCCAGGGAAACCCAGAGAGGCTACTATGTCAAATCTTACAAACTGGAGGTCAGCACGAATGGCGAAGACTGGATGGTATACCGGCATGGCAAAAACCACAAGGTAGATATACTCCTGCATCTCAAAGGCATGCTTCAGGGTGAAGAGGAGTGGGACCTGAGGGACTTCAAGTTGATTCCACACAGGGGAGGAGCCATTGTTTTGTGAGGTTCAAATAATTGATGGAGGCAAGGAACACACTAGCCCTGAAAATTTTCTTTCTTAGGTTAAAGTAATTGGAAAATTTCATTTCTCCAACAGCCTGACTGCTGTTACATCTTGCACAGCAGAGAGAGAGAGAGAGAGAGAGAGAGAGAGAGAGAGAGAGAGAGAGCTTGCAGAGTGTTATCTGACTGCAAATGAAGGAGAAAATGCACAGCCCATCCGTACCTCCCCACACAGGATTCGTTGCGCATTTATGGCCTGAGTCCCTTCCACATGCTGGGTTAACAATTACAAAACTGCATGAAACTGCGGTTCAGGAGTTACCAAGGTCTGGAAATACAAGGGCACAAAATCCTGAGAGGGAATCACAATGTCCCCAAGAAGAAAGAGAACAATAAATAATGAGGAGAAATCCTGTTTGTCAGGGATGGGATCTGAACTGACAATCATGCTTAGCAGTAAGGCATTGAATCCTCTCAGCCGGTGCCTTCAGTGTCTGCAGCCCCCAGATTCGTGGTCCATGTGGGTGATATGAGGCTTTTGTGGTATACAGGGATGAGTGTCTGGCACTCAGTGCTCTTAAAACACATGTCGTTCTGGGTCTACAGCTGGCAAAAAGCAGGGTGTTCTTTGAGTTAGGCATATGGAGGCCTCTGTGGAAACAGCCTGTCTCACCTGAGTGGGGACAGGGCCTCTGTCATAGGCGCACAGGTGAAGGTTAGCCCTGCAGGCTGTGACTCTCAGGCCATGGTAGGGATGGCATCCTGGGGATTCCCAGAGACTCTGATTCTTCCTTGGAAGAGAATCAGGAGTGAGTGATAAAATAGGTCTGTCTCGCCTCCTCTATGTTACAGTCCCACCAGGCTCTGGTCTAGGGGCTCAAATGATCAAAATAAAATACCTGTAGCCCAAGAGCTTTCCCAAAGGGGTATATCCTTGGCCCCTGTCACTGTCTCAAGTCAGCATGTTCTCCAACTATACATATAACTGGAAGCCTTGGACCCAGAAAATTCTGCACTATAATATTGGCAGCTTCACTCAGGAAATGTGAGTTTTTAAAGGAGTGAATTTTTTTTTTAATCAAGAATCGCCATAGTAACATGGCATCATTCATATGAAAAGCATGGTTTCTAGATATTACTAGGTGTCTCTTCTGCACACAATTTCCTCATTTCCCCAGTAAAGGAAGTGAAATACTCAGCAGTGGAAAGATACCCTCACCTTGACCTGTGGGCAGGTCTGGTCCCCGATTACCCTGGTTTAGAAAGAGTGGCTGGATGCCAGTCAGGAGGGGCAGCTGAATCTGCACTAGAGGCTGGGGAACTCCTGGAGCTGAGTCCTTATCTCACCCCATTTCTTTCCCACCTCTCTCTCTCTCCACCCACATTCAATAAGAAACCGGTAGAACCTGGGAGCTTAGCTAGCAGGTGAGGGCCAGCAGCAAGGTAGGAATGGGTCCTGAGGAAGAGGCACGAGGCTCCCTTGACTGTCTCCCTGTCCAGGTTCAATGACTAAGCAGTTGCTGGCCTGAGGATGCTGTAGCATAAGCTGATTTTAAAAACACACAGATGGACCAAGATGCTATTTAAAACACCATTTGTAGGAATCTGCTTTTGGAAATACCTTAGCACTGCACATTTTGATAGAATGCTGTCCTCATGGCTTTATCCCTGCTACACAATTCTTCAGGGAAGATATTCCTGAGAACCGAATTGAGCTTTTCTAGTCTTCAGAATCTTCCTTCTCAACTTTTTTTTACTGAATACACTCTCGCTCTCTTCTGTCTCCTCTTCCTAAAGATTTCTCTCCCCAGCAGCCAGTGGATAACTTGGGGTCTTGTTTTCATTTTTGTTTTAGAGAGACTGTCTTGCCCACATAAAAAGGGGATAGGGAAGAGGAAAAGCCCTTTCTTTTCCGATTAGAAATGCATCTTCCTGTACTTAAAACAAGGCAGGAAAAGAGAAAGCCTGCTAATTAGGCTTCACCTCAGTCCTCAGCTCCCGCAACTTACTGCGCATGTCATGGGAGGCCAATAGACCTTCTCATCCTCCCCTACAAGGATGCTCTTTTCCGCCACTTCATTAGCAGGTGTCCCTCAGATAGCTGTGTTTAATGTGCAGTTCTCCAGGCTGCTGAGGTTGAAAAAGCTGAGCGAACCATGCCAAATAGATTTGTCAAGTCTGTGCAGTTTGATTTGATGCCTTAAGGGGAAGGAGGGGACTTGGGGGCAGAGAGGCTGTGGGGAGGAGCTTGTCCATGCTGGTATTACCACTGAGGTTTTTTTTTTATGGCCTCTGGATGCCAGGCACTGTGCCAAGCTATCTAACACCAAGTGGTGGGCTTGAAAGTGAAGTTCAGACAGCAGGACCTCAAGAAAAGCAGAGAAGAGAAGGAAAACATAGTGGTTGGACTCCAGGGCACAGGGGGAGAGTTTGAAAACCTTGCCATACCTTCCCATTGCATAAGGAGTAAAGAAGGTATTGTGACATTTGGGGCACAAATTTGGGATCTCAGTTTCCAAACTGATAACTGTCAACACCAGTGCAGCATATCAAAGGCTAGGGAATTGGAGAAACCAGAGAAAAACAAGATTGATGAGCACTCACAGTGGTGGAAGATGGCTATGCTGTGTCCTTACAAAACATTCACTGCAGTTTTCACCCAGGCGGGGCAAGGAAAGGTCTAAACCTGTAAGACAGTGCCTTTCTTATTCCTCATAGGAGGTAGAGAAGACTAAAGAACTCTCTTCCAGCCTCCCAACCAATGAACAGCCTCTTCTTTCCAACAGGCATTCATGAGACTATCTCTGAGAAGACAGGCAGATCACGCCGTAGCTGGGGGATCATTAGCATCCTCCTGGCAAAACGCAGCCTGCTTACTCAGGCCACATGCACAGCACATCCCCAAATCCTTATCCAGTTCCACATGCCATAAATATGGAACCCATGATTTTCACATAGGCGGGCCCTCCTTATGCATATTTATGGCATAACCACAAAGCAGAGAGCTCCTCCGCCTGATGGAACCCATATCCAACCCACGAGCTCCCTTGGATTATACAAATTACTTCACATACATTTCTTCAGAAACCACAGCAGAAACTACTGTTTTTGGTTTTGCCAGCTCTATGAGTAACATCCCAGACACAAGCATAGTGTTGTCAATACAGTGGTAGTTTAGTGTGCATGTGCACGTGTGTGTAATTACAGGCACAATTACGCACGTACATACCAAGAAAGGTACGGGGAGAATAATGGGACTAGTTCAAAGGCACGAATCCTGCCCTCCTCTGAGATGGTGATCGCATGAGTCTGCACTGAAGGGACAGCCTGTGCCTGAGAAATCAAGCCCTGGCAGGCTTTCTGGGTGTTGGGACAGTGGGACAGAGGCCATTGCCCTCTGTGTTTAGGTAAAAACCTTGCCTTCAATTCTCATTTATTTGATCAACGTACACAGCTTGCTGACATAGTTTTGGTTACCTTGCTCTTACTTATGGTGTTTCTGGGCATTTCTTCTCCATTTGGAAAAAGTCAAGACAAAAGACAGAGGCTATAGACACCAATGGTCAGATTGGGGATAAAAAGGTGAAGGGTAAGGTAAGGGTTGATCCCATGAGTTTGGATAATCAGCCTAAAATAAGTGGCAGGGATGCACTGAGCTCATCATATTAATGCAAAGATGTGTGCCAAGGAGCTCCACAAACTGACTTAGTTGCTTCAGAATTTCATGATGTTTCACAGACTGTGGAATTGCAGCTCTCAGAGACTAAGCAACTTGTCCCTGGGATGGGTACCTTGGAGCCCCCAGGAAAGGCTCCTTGTCACCAGGCTTTGCCACTGAAGCTCTCAACTGTCTGTTCTGGGCCTCACTCCTTGTCATGGATCTACAGGGAAAGTGGCCTCCTGGCATTTCTAAGAACTAAGTGGCATGCGTATTCTGAGCTCCTGCTTACTGATAGAGTCTTAAAGTGGGCAGTGCAGCTCAGGATGCAAGGCTAAGCGTTATGGAAGGGGTTTGAACTCCATCAGAGAATCATGAGGATGGAAAGTTGAAAGAAGCTGTTATTTGTTTGAGTTGGCCACAATCCTTCAAAACAAGTGCCCTAGTTCAAAAATTCTCTGCCCTGTATTTATTTTCTAAATTAAAACAAATCATTTTTTTAAATCATAGACTTGGAATGAAAGAGTAGTTTTAGAAAACCAAACCCCCAGTTCAGCTGGCTAAGTTTTAGAAGCATGGGATGTCTGTTTAAGATTTTCTGAGATGGTGTACTGAGTAGCCTTGGAACTCTCCCTCCCAGACCTGTGCCTCAGTGTTCCTAGTCACCCTGACGCGATGGTGCTACAGCTGCTCTTGGCAGAACACCTGACCATCTGCAGAGGGAAGGCACTTTGCAGATACAATCAATGGATTAGGCCCACAAAGCTCTTCTTGAGCAGAAGCAAGTTGTCAGTTTAAAAAGTAACAGGGCCCCATGGGATATTTATCTGCCTGTTTTAAAATTATAGGTCTGGAAGGGACCGTGATAAGTCATACAGGCCTTTCCCTGCATCTTACTGCCTTACACTCAGGCTGCTTCAGATAAATGCCATCCTAGCTTTATTCTTTGTGAGAGATGCAATTATTCTTCCAATTAATAATTTGAAGATTTTTTAACCCCTTGGCAGATGCCTAACTTGCACTTACTCCTTTCATGCTTTGGCATTTTGTTTGTTGCATAAAGACAGTGACTTAAACCACAATCTAGGAAAGGCATCAGCTTTCAGAAGTTGTGGATGTGATTATATGATCTAACCATGGTTACATGTGCTCTGAAGAGGGCAGGTGCTCTATCCAAGTTCAAATCCCTCAGTCTGTTCATCCCCCCTCCATTAAAACTGAGAGGAGTTCAGCATGCT